AAACTACGGGGAACCATGCAAAAAACGCATCTTCGCACGGGCAGCCCGTGCGTTGGCCAATTATTTTTATTTCTGGTCCATCCACTTTTTGTGGTTTTTTTTTTTAAATTACGGTTCGACCTTCCAATGGCCACAAATTACAATTTCCTTGGTATTTTTTGAACAATAGCACTTCGCCCTGTTGTCTTTTCGAGGCTACAGAGATGGCCTTTTCTCGTAAAAAATACGGCCAGTTTTGGTGTTAAAGTTGTTTGATGGAGAAGTACTCACCGTACACTAGTTTATTGGACTTTTCAGATTTTTTTTTTATCGAAGAAGTTGTGGGATTTTCTTTTTGTAGAATTTTCTGTTACTACTAAATTTCTTAAAATATTACTTTATCATATTACTTTCTTGAAATATTACTTTATCATAAGTTTGTTTCCAATATTATTTGTTGTTGTTGTGTTAAAGTAATCAGCACTGATTCGACTTTTCTGCATTTTCAGAACAGAAACAAAAACTGAGCAAATCAAAGAAACAGTGGTTAGCTCGAGAATTGAATGCGGATTGTCAGACAGTCACGGATGTCCTTGATTGGATGGCGAAGAATCGTTCAAGCACAAAACCGACCAATGTAAAATTTGCCAACTTCTACATAGTCTTAGATCACTCTCTGTCATGAGCGGTACCCAAAATGTTTAAAATTGTACCCATTTGCTGGTTTTTTACAAAAATTTTGTTTCGCTAAACTCTCTATGAGTTTTTGCTGTATGTATTTTTGGATTTTGAATATTTTCAGCCCAAAATGACCTCGAAAATGGACAGGCCATTAGCTGAACAAACTAGTGGCATGAAAGATGGCACTGCAACTGAACCAGCTGTCGCAGCAGCAGCATCGAGTGATAGGTTTCAAAAATTTCTTGAATTATATTTTAGAATTTTCTATAATACATAATTCTAACTGATTTTCTAATTTTTCTTTTTTCTATTTTTTAATTTTTGTTTTTTCTTCTAATTTTTTAATTTCTAATTTTCTATTTTTTTCTAATTGAATTTCTAATTTTTGAATTACATTAGAATCCGGCTACTTTAATCGGAATTACAGACAGGACTGGGAATTTTTCTGAAAATCGTCAGCACGTAACTGAATTTTAGTATTTTCCGTTCTCCTAAATGCTTTGTTTTCCGTTCTTCCACTTTTCTTAGCATTGTATTAATTTCATTTACATTCGTTTTTCAAGTGAGGTTTTTGTCCAAATTTTTCTGTCCCGATTTACAGAACGATCTCCTCCACCGATGCTTGTTTATCCCTTCTTTTCGTCCTTATTTACTCTCCTGTATTTCGGAATATAATTTTCACATGTCCCAAATACTTCTTAGTGGTGAAATAAAATGACGGTTTTGGTTGGCTGGAACCGGCAAATTTTTTTTTGTACAAACCTTTTTTATGCATTTTTTTTTTCTGTGTAACAGCAGCACAAAACGCATATTGTCATGCCCTTTTACGTATGTGTATGTGTGTGAGTGTGTGTATGTTTGTGAGTGTGTGTGTGTGTGTGTGTGCGTGTCCGTGTGTGTGTGTGTCTGTGTGTGTGTTTGTGTGTGTGTTTGTGTGTATGTTTGTGTGTGTGTTTGTGTGTGTGTGCGTGTATGTGTGTGTGTGTATCCGTATGTGTGTGCGTGTCCGAGCGTGTTTTGTTCCGCACTTTGAACTTGGGAACCACAAAAGCTAGGAAGCTGAAATCTAGGGGATTAAGTGACTGCCCCGTACAGTCAGCAATGCTTAGTTTTATTTATGGTCTTAACAGGAATAATTTAAGCCTTTCGAAGCTACCAACAAATGCGCAACAGAAAAAAGGGAAGAAACGAAAGGCAGCGAAGAATGCAAACTCAGCAGACAGCGATCTGCCCAGTACTACGCCAGCAGATGTTTTAGAAGGACGTAAACTTGCTTTACAAAAGCTACAAGAGAAGCTGGAACAATTTAAAGGTATGTTTTGAATTGCAGAGATGCGGATTTTTATGTACTGGTGGTTTTTGTAGGACATTTAACTTAGACATCTATTTTGGGTCAGTGGCTAAGCGGCTCGTCGGCTAGCCTGGTGCTCCGGTTTGTTGGGTTAGGTCGTCGACTCCTTGGCAATAGTTCGAGAGAGATGGGTCCGCGTCCTTCGTGGGTCGTCTGGGTCACTTGCGCAATACACCACCATAACACAACACTACTTTTAGTACAGAAACAGCAGCCTTATATAGGTAGCTTCGCGCCATTATACGCACTCTACCTAGGAGGGGAGTCATGATGCAACACTTGTAGAAATAAAGATTTCAAGAGCTAAAGGATTTGCACTGCCCGTGTTTATAGCTAAGGGATGAAACACAGACAGATCACCCTAAATTTGACTTGTTAAACGATCTGTTCTACATTAACAACTCAACTATTTCACCCGCCACCATTCTCTACCAAATTCTATTCTTCCAGCCTTAAAACATATAGAATTCCGCTGTGCTGAATTTCTTTCTGTTTGCACACAGCCCCTTATATGTTATTCTTCGGTCTAACTGCGGCCACAAATTACCGCCGCACATCTACCCACAATCCCGACGTTCCTGCTCGGAATGACTGATTTTGGCTGGTCTTCCATGGCCCTTTCTCACCATTCTATTTCAAGAATCGATTTCTTTAATAACGATTTTTTCATTCTACTAGATGATAAATGTGGTACTGGTATACGCCTGTAGAGGAAGAAGGGTCAAAATCACCTTCAGCTACTAATTTCTCCGAGTTCGGAACCATCGACTGTTTCACTACTTGGAGGTTACTCTTAGTCACTGAATTCTTTCACACCGTATGCAAGGTGAAATACTGACGGAGTTTATTGAAGGGGGGGGGGCGGGAAGGGGGAGGATGGGGATTTTCAGTGCTAAAATTACGAATTCGTTCGCGAATATATTTTGGAGAGGTTGCTTTGATTTTTGTTTTTCAATTTTAGAATAATGTGGCATTGTTGATTAACTTTTTTAGCGAAAAGACGTGGCAAATTGACAGCACACGAATTTGAGGAGAAGCGAAAATTGAAACGTCGAATGAGTAAGATAAAAATGAAAGAAAGAAGAGCAGCGGCGAAGCAGCAACAAAAGAGCTCGAAGTAAACTCTTTCAAATTTGTTTTTATAGGTTTTTTGCAGCTTTGCAATGCAGGAGAAGCATATTGACGAGGAGTTGTCTGTGTGTTCGTATGTACCGATTTTTCATCTCGAGACCTACAAAAGCTACGGGGCTGAAATTTTGGAAACTTAATCTACATGCATGCACGGGCCCTCACGCGCAAAACAGGCGCCCTTACCCGCGTGCTCCCACGTGTGGGCCGGCCAAAGTTTTCTACGGGCAAGCCGCTAACTCGGAAACCAGAGAAGCTGGAAAGCTGAAATTTAAAGAAAACGTTCCTCGTCCATGCAGGTATCAAGGACCTCAAAACCAGCCTTCGGATACGGGTGGTACCCACGTAAGGGCCCGTGAAAGTCTTTTTCGGGTAGGCTGCTAATTCGGGGACTTGAGAGCTGGAGGATTCGAATTTAAAGGGGATGTTCCCCATCGATGTGTGTGTTAGTGAGCTCAGACCCAGGCACCGGGGTACGCGTGGTACCCATGTGCGAGCTCGCGAAAGTTTCGGGTATGTTATTAGCTAGAGAGCCTGAGAGGCTAAAAAGCTGAAATTTTAAAGGGTTGTTTCCCGATACTTCTGGCAGCCAGTCTTGTTTGGCTAGAAGCATTTGCCGGAAAAACCGATGCTGGTAGCGACAAAAACTGTGGGGAACTATGCAAAAAACGCATTTTCACACGGGTGCGTTGGCCAATTATTTATACTTATTTAGGCCTGTGCTAGTTTGGCTTTGTTTTCTTGTGAAAGCTTTTTTATCAGCTTGAGGCACTGATGATTTCCAGGCTGCCGACTGATGACGGGCCACCTGAGGTGAAACGTCCGAAACTTGATGCTGGATCGAATTCGATTCAGGACGGGAAGCAACGAGATGCAAAATTGATTTTTTCCAAATTTGATTTTATTGTAAGGCCGGAGAAACCGGTAATTTTTTATCATTTCAAAAAGGGTTTTAATATTTTTTCTCTTTTGATGAAGTATTTTTGTCACACGCTTTCTGAAATTTTTGCTAAATGCCTTGTGCCAAAAGCTTATTTCAGACTAACAGTTTTCTTGCTTGTTTTTAGAAAGAAACAAAAAAAGAAAAAAGAGACAAATTTACGGGTAAAGACTACAAACGACTGCTGGAAAAAGCTGAGAAAAGAGATGAACGATTGAGTGAAATTCGAGCAAAGAATCCGGGAAAAGCTGATAAAATTGAGAACAATATTCAGTGGAAGAAAGCGATGAATCGTGTGGAAGGGAATAAAGTAAAAGTGAGGTTTTCGGAAATTTCAAAAGTATTAGTTGCAGTTTTGAGCCTAATTAGGGAAACAGTAAATTCGGAAGCGGGAAAAGAGGTAAACGTAGTGGAACGACGAAGAAATCTGCAGTTCTTTTAAATGGGTGTATTGGTATTTTCTACCCAACTTTTCCCCGTCCAAGTTGGATAAAAAATACCAGTACACCGATTGGGTAGAAAATACCAATACACTTTCCGCATCTGTCCTCATTTTTGCCCTCATCTTTCCAAAATTTTTGCCCTCTTCCTTGAATCTTTCTTTAATTCATTCTCCATCGAAGCTAATTTCTTGACCATTCCGGAGCGGTTCAAAGATAGTCTCCTTCCTTGGATCTTTTTTTTTATTTTCTAAAAAAGCTAATTTCTTGTCCCGGAACGTGATATAATGGTCGGGGAACTCGACCTGTATCTTCAGAAACAGATTTCACAGCCATTTACTGTGATTCGAAGTCGGTGTCGTTCCTTCCGTTTTTTTGTTTTGTTTAGACAGCCCTCTTTATTGAGGAACAAAACGTTTTTTGCAGGATGTGGAGGAATAGGAGCCATTAAAGGAGAATTTTGCAGTGATGGAAAGGCACCTTCCATTAGGTGTAGATTTTCGCTTAGTTAAAAAACTCGTGTATCTTTCCGGGAAGTACACTATTGTTGGCAGTATTTTTTTTTTGTTATGGAAATTTATAATAGGAAAGAATGGAAAAAAGGAAAAGGGAAGTAAGAAATGAAAATTAGAAAATTTGTGAGATTATTACAGTGGGAAAGAGGTATTTCGGCCCATTAAATCGTATACAATTCTTACCATTACCACAATTGGACCTCAAAGTCATAACCTTCGTATTATTTTTGAGATGAAGGTACTCGGAAATAGCCGGATTGGCTGAATGTGTCTATAACAACTGCCCCGTGATAAGGCTGTCGATAGTTCCTTCTTCCGAGAATTTTTTATAAACAAGCTAACGGCTGATTTGACTCCAAAGTATAGGCATACTGTCGAAAGAGGTGAATAACGTATCGTAGAAGAACTAGTTATCCCACTGGCAGAGTCGAGCGCTCGACTTTTTCAGCATGAGAGCAGTACTAAGTGCCAGTGCTCTCGCGTAGAGGATATTTGAGAAATACTTTCGCAATGAAGAAAAAAGTATTTTTTTCAAGAATTGAATTTTTTTGCAGGATAACCCAGAGCTTCTTAAAAAAAGTTTGAACAAAAAAGAAAAACTAAAGGAATGGAGGAAAAAGAAATGGGAGAAACGTGTGGAACATACGAAGCAAATGCAAGCGCGGCAGCAGGAGAAACGCCGAGCTAACATCCAAGCAAGAAAAGATGCAGTGAAAAAGAAGAAATTGCAAAAAGCACGGAAGAAAGGAAGAATTTTGTAATGTGTCTGAGTAATTTGAGTCTCATTAAAAAAAAAAAAAAAAAAAAAAACAGTATTTAGTGAAAAAAAAAATTCA